TGACACTGGCTGGCCGATGGTATACGGAGGAGGCCTAATCTATGTGATCTTATTGGTCGCAGGGATGTAATTGGCATCCCAATTATTTTGCTGCCTTAACCAAAGGCTCTGGGATTGTTCAGCAGGAACTCTGGAAGTGTAGATATAGATAGCTATATAAATAATACAAAGTCTTTATTTTAGTCCATTTGTACCATCCAACTCCTAATTATTCTAGAATAATTCTTGTCTTTTTCTCCCTGCTTTTGCTTGCCATTTATCCCAGTTTGCCACCAAACAGCTTTGATACTTGCTGATGTTTAAATAAGTCTCAAGCAATATTTCATACAGTAATAGGGTTGGAAATGACTTTGGTAGTCTTCTAATTCAACCCCCATTCCCAGAACAGGATTCCTCCTCTTATCCCAGACAAATGATTATCACCCTTGATATGATGTGGCAGGCTGTTCCACTCTTTAATTGTGCTCACAGTCAGAAAATTCTTCCTTACTTCAAGTTTGGATTTCCCTCTGTAAAGCTTTCCCAGGTTTCTACCCACTGGTTCTTATCTTACCCTTGGATGCTACAGAAAATAAATCTTCTGATTTTTGACATCCCTTCATGTATTGGAAGATTGCTGTCATATCTCCTTTCAGCCTTCTCTTCTTTAGCAATAGCACTTAGTATGTGGACATATATACCACTTCACAGTGCTTTACAGCCCTCTCTAAACGATTTACAGGATCAGCATATCGCCCCCAACAATCTGGGTCTTCATTTTAACGCCCTCGGAAAGGTGGAAGGCTGAGTCAACCTCCTGAGCTGGTAAGAATCAAACTGCTGGCAGCGGGCAGAATTAGCCTGTAATACTGCATTCTAGCCATTGCGCTGCCTTTAGACTAAATCTACCAAGGCTCTTTAGACCAAACATACCAAGTTCCTTTAACCATTCTTGATAAGATTTGGCTTTCATGCCCCTTTCCTTCTTTATCATTCTTCTTTGCATGCTTTCCTGTTCCTCATTGTCCTTTTTTGTATTATGATTTTATTGTACTGTAGGGTATAGTATTCCAGGTGTGCGGCTGTCCAGTGCAATGTAAGACTGG